AACCTGTGGATCCCCAGGTGTTTTGGCCTACAACTCCCAGAAATCCCAGCCAGTTTACCAGCTGTTAGGATTTCTGGGAGTTGAAGGCCAAAAATATCTGGGGACCCCAGGTTGAGAACCACTGTCTTAAGGTCATGATCAAAACACGGAAGCTGAAGTTTCATTTCATATGGAATTGAGCAACAGCACTGTGATGTCTAGCACCAGTTTCACTATGAAAAGTATTTGCAAAGCATATGCCTACAAGGTTTGGAATAATGCAAGTTCTACTGACATTAAGTATGTGACCCTTTTAACAGTCGACCTATGTCTGCTTCAAATAAATTCCTAGTCCTGGAAAATGCTGCTATATATTCTGTGTGAGGAAAACTGGTGATCAGCTATTTGTTAACTATATTTGAATGTGCATTTTCTAAAATAAGTTTCTAAACATTATTTTGGGAACTATTGCTAACTTAGAAGAATTTGTGTGTTTTCACACAGAATACTTATGCATTCCAGGTTTAAAACAGGACTTTCCTCCTTAAACACAAAGTGGTGTTAATCCAATTGTTGGTGGTGAATGGATATATCAATGTTAAGAATAGAAATAAAGGTAACATCCCTTTTGTCAAGTACACACTACAATTTGCAGGTGAATCTGGTCTATATTCTTCAGCTGAATACTGCTTAAGGCAGAATTACATATTAGACTTACAGTTTCCTTGGTCTTCAGTATGCGCGCGCATACAAGGTTAGTGCAAACTACATTTTAAGGAGGTATTACTACACTCTCTAGAGTGATGGGGGTAAGAGATTGCTAGGCCTACTCAACTGAATCTTGTCCTTCCCTTTTCAAGTCCAAAAGTATTTTTGTTAAATTAAGAAAAAATGAAATAACGACACTGGATCTCCATGACAGAAAGGTGAAGTACATCTCTTAAGAGACATCAACAACTCTTGGTAGAGGTATCTGGATGATCTATACTTTGCTAGAATTCTTCCAGAAATTTGACACGGCTAAGCAGTTTTATGAAATGACAAGATTCCACAATTAAACATTATACCATACACCGATGGATAGAAAGACTTAGATAATGACCGCAACGCACAGATCTTTCATACCACTTTCAATGCCAGAGGTGTATCCTACAAAAACCAGAGATTTGTTGCTTAGAGAAATGCTAGAGTTCTCTGACAGGGAGGTCTAGATACCTCACAAAATGACATACTCCAAGAATACCATAGGATAGAGCCATAGCAACTAAAGTGGCATCAATGTGCTGTAATTATGTAATGTGAAAGAGATCCTACACCTGCTTCCAGTCCTAGAAGATCTCCCTTTCACCTCATAGGTGCATATCAAGCGTATGCTTTCTAGAGACAAGCAGCGTAAGAGTTCATCCACTTCTTCTCACTCAGCAAAGTTGCAAAAAATTGGATAAACAACACTCTGGCTTACACCTGGACCAGCTCTGGGGCATTCATGCCATGTTCCTTTAAGGAGAGAGGAAGGAATATTCCCGTTTCCAACTGAGACTCATCTTGTCAAGCAACTCCCTGTGACACAGAGCACCACAAACCTATTTGGTTAATACCATTTATTCTACTGTACAGTTCTTGCTACTGCAAGTTAGTTCCTAAGACATGCAAACAGTTATTGCTACTAAAGTTCTATTTATTAAGTCATCTTATGGCTTTATTTGCATTGGGGATTCTTCCCCCTACATACTGTGCTATTTTGCATTCCAGTTTCAGAGGTATTTTTCCATCAATTGGTTCTCCCAAGCACTAAAATCTACTTCTCTTAATGGTACAGGTACATTTGTTCACACAAGAATGTGGACAAAGCTCTGGTCTTACAGCTCTTCTATAAACAGCCCACCTTCTTGGTTTACAAGAGAGAATGGGTAGAATCCTATAAACAGCTACTAATTTCACAAGATTTCGTCTTCTGCAATCTGAATCTTTCCTTTGAATTTCAGCCAACTCAAATGCAGAAACATCTCTTCCTTCACCAAGGCAGCCATTTATAGAAAAGACCAAGAAATAAAATGCAGTGTCCTCTTTAAGCTAAAAGTAGTGCTTTGGTTACATACACATACACACAAAATAGAATTGCAGATCTGCAAAGAACAACATGTATGAATTAATAGTGAGCAATCTGACTTGTATGAACTTAAAAGAAAATAAATGATTTCTTGAAGTAGTATTCTCACATTTTTTTAAAAAATTAATAACTGAAATGCAAATGGTACTTGGACTGTAAGAAAAAAATATGACCCAAAAGCTAAAATTGTAAGCAAACTCCTACAACTGCATTTCCTACAGATCTATGTGATCAAAAAAATTAAGATCGCCGTTTTGAACAACATATCTTGATTAGCAGTAATGGGAAAACCATTCTGAACAAAAGTTACACTGATGTGTCAATACAATAATATTTAAGGGTATATTCCCCCACTTTCCATGTAACTATATTAACCTTCAATAAAAATTATTACAAAAAAATAATATTTAAGGGGAGATATGCTAAATAATTGAATGTATGTTGGACCTTCTCAATGAGAAACACAGTCACATATTAATTAAGAATTTGTCAAGGGAGAGATTAGCCCTATGCCAATTGTTCATTACTTGAAACTGAAAAAAGTACAGGTAATTCGTTCTTTTCCCCATTAATAACAAATTATTTGCTCAGAGAGCAAGGGCTTTGTTCAGCGTTCTGTCTTGGTTTTACTTGAAGTTTCTTTTAGTGTGTCTAAATGTAACTGGCTGCATGGAGGCTGTTATCAGGAAACACTCCACAATTCATACTGCTGCCCTTCTGCTACCATTTGCCTAGAGAGGACACTGCATCTTCAGACCATAACTGTACGTTTATGAGTTACACCATCAGCACTATTAATTTGTCACTCTGAAATTGTTATTTTTCTTTTAAAAAAAGATACTACTAGGCTCATGCACCGATCCTAAAATGGCACTACAGTTTTGCTACAAAGCACTAATGCTTATGGAACTATACACATCTCAAAATGGAAGACATTGGTGATTTTGTTGTTCTCAAACAACTTGCAACGTTTTGTCCACAAGTATTAAAATATATTTATATTGTATATATTATACTATTGCACGTGCCCCGTATTTGTTTGATCTTTCATATGGGAAAGATTTCCTGCCAATGAGGAGAAAAAAATGCAATTCAACATGTAAAAACAAAGATTAAGGCAGCATTGCCTTTTTCACAGTACTGCTAAGGGTATGCTACAGGATGTCCTGGCCATATTTAGCAGACTTTTCTGTCCAGGATAACTTTAAATTCAATCCTAATGTAGTCTTATGGAATTTAAGTGAATATATGGCTGGAAGGAGATTAATGAGGGAAAAACTTCCTTGCTGGACAGTTGGGTGAATGGCATGGCTGCTCTTGATTTTGTCTATTATGAAAATGTGAGAAATCCAAATAATATTGGGTTGTTGTAGGTTTTTCCGGGATATATGGGCATGTTCTAGAGGCATTTTCTCCTGACGTTTCACCTGCATCTATGGCAAGCTTCCTCAGAGGTAGTGAGGTCACTACCTCTGAGGATGCTTGCCATAGATGCAGGGGAAACGTCAGGAGAAAATGCCTCTAGAACATGGCCATATAGCCCGGAAAAACCTACAACAACCCAGTGATTCCAGCCATGAAAGCCTTCGACAATACACCAAATAATATTTCTAAGGGTCAAGTAACTAAGGCCCCTTCCACACAGCTGAATAAAATCCCACATTATCTGCTTTGCACTGGCAGTGTGGACTCAAGATATTCCAATTCAAAGCAGATATTTTGGGTTATTCAGCCTTGATACCCTGGGTTATATGACTGTGTGGAAGGGCCAGAAGACATAAAAAAATCCCATTGACTGGTGAAACACCTACATTTTTAGTATCAGTTTTGAAGAAAAAGTAAGACATTTGGAACTACATTTCAAATTTTGATTTTCAATAGATGTTCCCTCAAAACCTTTGAAAAAGATATGCAATTGTTTTAAATTTGAAACTTCCATCTGGCTTGGGATTCCAATATACTTGAAAATCAATCTGAATAACAAGCTAATGAGCTGGCCAGACATTTTCTGCAGCTATATATTTTCACCAGTTTTAGAGAGTTATCATAAATGTTCCTTTCTTTTGAATTGATTTTCAATGGAGGAAAACAGCAGAATAAAATTATACCAAGTACTCTCTGTGCATCCATTTATCACAAAGAATTAAGTTGAGAAGTGGTGAGAGCATACAAGTGCTTAGACTGGCATGCTCCTCGTAAAATTATTTTTAAATCACAGGACAGAGAACTGGCTCTCCAAACGAGATCACTGCTTTCCCTTTAATAAAATAACCCTTTTGCCAATGTTAACCAGATCATAAAGTAGCATTCAGAATTTGGTTAACCACAAACAACCATTATTTACAGTATATGTCATCCCATTTTAACCCAGATTGAGGAATTAAAAAATAAAAAGTTGGCATTCACATTTTGATGATCTATGTAAGGTGCGCTACTAAAGGTTCCAAGAATCCAGCATAAAAGGGTACATTGCCAGGAAACTACTCGCCCTGGCAAACTGTGGCGAAAGATAGCTATTATCCAAAAAAAAAAAAAGATCATGTATAAATCACACACAACAGAGAAAAGGAATCATCTGTAAACATGTCAAAATTATAATGTCCACCTTAACTGTGGATTACACCCACTAGGAAAGTAGTGAAGGAGCCCTTCCTGAGCATGTCTACTCTTTTGTTCGCCTAAGCAGTGGAAAATAGTATGTATACCTTTATATTTGTTGTTGTTCCCTTTGGGTAAGAGCTTGACTTGGAGGAAGCTATTGCTCCTTTGGCGGCTGAATCTGCCCTGGGAACCTGGGGTCACTTTTAGGTCCCTCAAGGCTTCGCCCCTTTGGGAAAGGACTTGCCAGAGAAGCAACAACTTTTAGCAACATTTCCTGTTTCTATCCTTTAGGCAGATTGAGACATGGGGATTATTTTGTTCATTTGCTTTGATTTACAAAAGGAGGATGCTCTCCAACACAGTGGACTATTTGCTGCTGGATGTCAGCTGCTAAATAGAGATGCCAAGATGGCTATCTGTAAACTGACTCCTTTCAGGAGAACAATCCCTGCTGAGGAATTTTCAAAGGGTTTTTATTTTCTTTGAGAGGCTATTCTTTCTTTTAGAATAACACACATAATATCTTGATTATTCTACCAGGATCTTTAATACACTAAGATCCACTTGCTCAAAGGACATCAATTGTTAGGTTTTCCGTAATGCAATGTAGGGAGTAAGCCTTTCCTTATCTATGGCAACTATCAGCCAGAACAGTTGTTAGTCTTTGGATGGATGGATAAACATTTGTAGTGTGCCAAAACAGTGAAAAACGGGCTGTCACTATTGACACTTCTACAAAATGTCAACTATTTTAAAGGGCAAGATTATCTTTTCCCGGAAATAGAGCAGAAAGAGAGCAATGGTTCTTCATTTCTTTTATGGTGACGATGAGGGATTTTCCATCGCCGGAAGTGCCTTCACAACCAGGCAAGGCTCCACAATCAGTCTTCATTTGTTGGGACAGGGAAGAACCTGGAAATGAACACAATGAACATAATTAAAGTTTTTTTGTTTTGTTTTTGTTTGTTTTTTTGTCGTGTCAGGAGCGACTTGAGAAACTGCAAGTTGCTTCTGGTGTGAGAGAATTGGCAGTCTGCAAGGACGTTGCCCAGGGGACGCCTGGATGAATTGATGTTTTTATCATCCTTGTGGGAGGCTTCTCTCATGTCCCCGCATGAGGAGCTGGAGCTGATAGAGAGAGCTCATCTGCCTCTCCCTGGATTCAAACCTGCGACCTGTCGGTCTTCAGACCTGCCGGCACAGGAGTTTAACCCACTGCGCCACTGCAGCACACACATTTTTAAATATTCAGTATACGGATGTGCACTCTGGCGCAAATGTGTCAGGAGTTTAGTATAGCTGTTGCTGTCTTTGGCACTTTTGAAAAAATCCATATGATGTTTCTCTTGTCCCAAACTATTTCCTGTCAATTATTAGCAACAGTGGATAAAATTTATTTCTATTCGTGACTCTTGTTGTTCTTGAAATGTATCTGAGAGAGAAAAAATTACCTTTCTTTTCTCCTTTCTTTTTCCCCTTCAAAATATCTGGAGAGTTACAGTGCATCAGTGAATTGGCACTTTTGCATTCTAAAACATCTCTAAGAATGCTTTTTAAAAGTCAGAGGAAAACAATGCCTTTAAACGGGCATTAGGAATTTCAATTTCATTTAAATACATTTAAATAAAACTTACAGTGCAATAGAAAAACAGTAGGAAAAGATTCCAATAGAAAAGAAATAGAAATGACAGAATGCATTTAAAAAGGTGGTAATATTGCTTTTTTAATGAATATGAGCTCCCGGTGGCACAGTGGTTAAACCACTGAACTGCTGAACTTGCTGACCAAAAGGTCGCAGGTTCGAACCCGGAGAGTGGGGTGAGCTCCCGCTGTTAGCCCCAGCTCCTGCCAACCTAGCAGTTCGAAAACATGGAAATGTGAGTGGATCAATAGGCATCACTTCAGCTGGAAGGTAATGCTGCTCCAAGCAGTCATGCTGGCCACAAACCTTAGAGGCGTCTACAGACAACGCCAGCTCTTCGGCTTAGAAATTGAGCTGAGCATCACCCTCCAGAGTCGGACTCAACTAGACTTAATGACAAGAGGAAGCCTTTACCTTTAATGCATAGGACCACCTCAGCAAATCATGCTTTAAAACACTGGAAAAGTCTCTAGAATACTGTTTAATGCACCTATGTGGAAAGCATTTTGCAGATGAAATCCAGGATGTTGTCAAAAGATGGAACACTGCTTTTCTATTTATCCCAAAAGCATTGTGCCACTCAGCAATAATCTTACTCACTCTGGAATCCATTAAATTGCATACATTTGATAATAAACTCGTTTACTAAAGAAAATTATCCCAATTTCCATTCACAACAAAACTTATCTTATGCTGTGTAAGTTGTTGAAATAAATGAAAATCTTTGCCAGGGAAGAAAGAAATATGCATGGAAGAGAAGAGAAGCCTCCATTTTGTGTTTGTTGTGCTTGAAAGGATATTATTAACTCTCTAGCAATGTAAACCACTGATTAAGAATGAACCTATCTGTTTTCTATTTCAGAGCATACAAAAAAAGATTTCTACTTCAGGGATCAATTTGAATTGACTCAAAGATTTCAATTATAACTATCAGGAAAACATCAGTGTTTTATGAAGCTGCTAAAATACATACTGATTTTCAGTCGTTTCAGTACAGAGAAGACGAAGCAAAGATCTCATGAAGGCACAGTGGGATTTCTAACAGATTACATTTCTATGCTAATTCTTATATTTCATCAAGAAACCTAAAAACCTGATTATTAAGCATTATCAGTTATAAAGTTGAATCCATGTTTTTCATACTTACAGTTATGTAAGACCACAATTGTTTCTCAGCTTCTAATTGTTTAATTGAAACCATAAGAATGTTCCCTGTGTAAAAAAAAGAGATCCAAGAGCAATTAAAGCTCATAGTCGGCATATGCAAAATCAAACCAGATAAACAAAACATTACAAAAGTTGTCTCACAATTATCTGAATGAAGGTGATTCTTGTTACTGCTGTAGGATTATATGAGAATGAAAACTATATAATCATGGGATATGTAGTCTGATAAGGCATTAGAGCTCTCTAATAATTAGATCTACTGCCAACAGATCAGGCTATTTTTGCTCTGGGAAAAGAGAAGCTAATTGGAAATTGAACATATCCACCATCTACCACCTGCTAACATTTCTGCATCTTCTTGATGTAGGATGTGTATTATTTTCGTGGCATGCTCTAACCAGATTAAAGCATAACATGGATAAAGATCCTGCACTGCACTAGTCGATCAAAATGGGCTACCACACATAGCTAAATTTTATCCCCTGCCCACCTATTGTTGATCTACGACTCATAGAGGGAGCTGCAGGAGATGAAGTTAGTAGATTCCTCCATCTATCATGACCAAAAAAAGTACATATGCAGGGATATATTTCAATTAGATCTGCACATTTCACCAACAAGATACTAAACATAAATTCCATTCCGGGGATGTCAGCAAGAATATAGTTTTTAGCTATCAAGTAGCAGGGCAAACAATTCCAAGAAGGAAAGACATTTACCTTTTGTATCATAGCTGCACAAATCATTTATCTCCATGAACTCCTGACCATCACGTTACAGTAATCCAGTTTTCTTCTTCGGACTGTCAATCAATATGGTGCAAACGTGGGCCTGGGGATAAGCAAGGACAAAATGAGAAAAGTCAATGTTCAAACTGCTTTAGACAAAGATAATAGCTTTCTTCTACCTCTAAACTACTGAAGAGCTCCATACTAAACACTGTTGTTTCCCTAGGTTCTGGAACCACTTCCTAGGAAAGGTCTATTTTTATTGATAAGCATGTTTTTTTTTTCATTTTTAAAATTTATTTTGACAGTATTTTAAAGGAAAGGCCATTTAAGAGCATGCTGTACTATTTTATATGTTTTAAAGTGTTTTTAATTTCATTTTAAATATTTTCTTTATATGTTTCCAATATTTAGGAATCATTTTAATTTGTAAGTCACCTTGAGTCTAATTTTTCAAGGAAAGGTGGAATATAAATACTGTACACTTCAAAACAACAACAAAATAATATTAAACAGTTGAAATACAACCTAAACTTGTGTTACTGGCCTTTGTTGTTGTTGTTGCCAACTGATGCTGTCACTTTGTAATTAATGTAACGCTGTCACTTTGTAATTTGTAACATATAGTTTACATACTTTCTCCTCCATTCATGCAAAACAATCAGAAGCTTCTAATCATGGTCAGTAGTAAAACACAGCAAGCATACGCCTCTCAGTCTGTGAACACCAGTTTTTATCTCAATATCATATGCATCTAAAAGAACCATGTGCTACCAAAACCCAGGGACATAAACAAAAGCCTTGCAGTTGATCACAATTTCCAGCCAAATTTCCACAAAGGTTTTGGAGACATACCAATCTTCTTCCATCTACCTCGTCTTTATCCATGCAACAATCACATATATCATGAAATAGCTCTTCTCTTTAAGAAAATACAATAACATGATGGCAAAAATCAGCAAGATCTATCACTTAAGAATTCCCAGAAACACAGTGTTCAAATAAAAGTATTTTTCATGCACAGTCTTTGACTATTGCAAGTTAAGTTTATCTATTTATTTGCTACCTTTCCCCAAGCCTATTCAAGGCAACTTACAGAAATTAAAACAGATACAGCCAAACGTTAAAATATAATTACACTAAAAATAGAATTTAAAACAATATGAAAACATACCCTTTAAAATGGATGGGGAAAATCCAAGCAGTATAATATTATACAAGCAATCCTCAAATGCTTGCTGGAAAAAAAAAGGCTTCACCTATTTATAAACCAGAGTTTCAATCTAAATAATGGAATTCTAGAATCTGGTATCATCCACTGAGAAGGCCCTCTCCCGTGTTCCCAAAAGATGTACATGCAAAAGAGATGAAACAGAAAAAGGCCTCCCTGGAAGATCTGAAAACATAGGCAGACTGTTATGGAAGAATACAGTCCTTCAGAGAAGCTTCCAGGCTCAAGGCTGAATCCAAAAGCACATCCACAAGACCTGTGGCTTCAAGACGAGAGTAACCCCATCCAGTATTTAAGAGCATTTATCCTTACTAAAATGAATGCAGCCACAAATGAAGAAATACATGGCTTTGCATGCAACCCCATTCTCGTCAAGTAATTTTAATTCTTGATAAAAGAATGAGGTAAAATCCGAGTGTTTTTTTTTTTTCCCCTTCAGCTCCATTGAAGGAGGAGTGGAGTCAGGTCTCAAGAATGCAAAGCTGACAAGCCCAGTCGCAGAATGATGGATCACCTGCAAGCAAGGCCGCTTCATTATACATACACTGCTTGCACAATTAAACACACACATCCCTAGTATATACGAACCAGAGCATTCTGGTTCTTATTATCTTGCTCCTGCAATGCGGAATTATTTTCAAAGGCAAAGGGGAAAAAATCAGCACACTCAGCAAGACTTAGCTCTCTAGGTTTATTGCAGATTCCAACCACATACGATCAAGATTGTCCTTAAAATTTCACAACAACCTACTCAGTGAGTTTACATGTCAAATCAAATTGCAATGACTTAAATGATTTTTAAAGCCAACACCGTAGAATTTACAATTCCTGTTATAAATTACTATAACCAGGTCTAAGATACTTAACTAATGAAAGAGCAGCAAGAAAAGTACTGGGAAGATAGACAACCTCCATTCTAGTCCCGTTTACATCTCCAGAGTATTTTATTTCAGAACAAAATTTTGCATTCAGAACAAAATGTTGAATGACACCAATACCAACAACTCCCATCAAACACTCTCAGAAGATACGGATTTTGTCAGCCAATGAATAGAATAGAAAGGAACCTTAAAATTGGTCAGCACTGTGAAAATTATTATAGGTCATGTATCCCTTATCTGAAATGCTTGGAATTTGAAGTGATTTGGATTTTGGAATGCCTGTATTTGCATATACAGGCAGTCCTGAAGCTACAAAAAAAAAGGTTCATCATATTTGTTCTTAAGTTGAATTTAAATGCAAATCAGAAAAGATAGGTTTTAAAGTGTAACTCCATATGTATATGTAAGCTTTGAGTGCATAGGGAAGGATTATCACCCCTGTGGTGTTTGTTTTGCTGTATGTGCCTCTGTTCAGAAGAATTCACCTCACTGGACAAGTAGGTAAAGCAGATAGCAAAGTATTAGGTGAGCCAGCAAGCTATAGTACTTTCAATTTCTATTCAACCCTGAAAACCCACTGGATCTCTGTAAAGTCATATTCTCTCATTCTTGGAAGAAGGCAATGGCAAACAACTCTTACCAAAAACATCTTCCGATAGGACTGTCATAAGTCAGAAATGACTTGAAGACACAAAACAAAAATAAACAAAGTGTTATGAATCACAACAGTAGAGATTCAGGACACCCCCACCTGCTTCATTCAGCCCAGCATTCAAGGAAGGCAGGTGAAGGGGTATCAATTATGAACTATTCATTATTATTATTTTGTTAATTTATTTCTAATCTTGTCCCCAACACTGGAACTCAAGGAGGCTTACAAAACCAATGGAGAGACAAAAACATACATGCAAATATAAGGAAGTTATTTTTAAAATGCAATTAAGTAATCTACATAATTAAAATGTTATAAAATCTATTTAAAGGTAATAAAAATTAACAGCATACCATTGCAAGCTTATTGTAGTCAATCCCTAAAATCCTGTTAGAATAAGAAAGCGTCCACTTGTCAAAGGAAGAGGAGCAAGGAGAGAGCTCATCAAATCCTACCTAGAGAAGAAGTCCCAAAGTCTGCAAACAGACACCAAGAAGGCCCTCTCTTGTTCCCACCACATGCCTGGGAAGGTGATGACTCTGAGAGATGGCATCCCATAAAGAGCTCAGTTAAGATCAGATAGGGTTATGCAGTCCTTCAAATAGCTACCATATATATATCCTGCTGCTCAATCCTTTACAAAAAGGAGGAAGGAGGAATGATGCCACTGGGTGCTACAATCTGAACACACCCAGCATGCCTTTAAAACAATGATACCCAAATCTGCGTATTTGTTAGTATCCATCCCCTCATAAATGTTCAAACCAATTGCCAAAAAAAGGACAAGAGCTGTTGACTACCATTTTTGGCTTCACCAGTAAGGCAATCTGGTACATGAGGCACTTTGAACAGGTCCTCTGTTTTATTTCTACATCTTTCCCTTTTCTATTCAGTCACTTCAGCAACTGAATAAATAAAATTCAAAGCATGTTTTTTGAAAAAAAAAAAAACAATTCAGCAATATCTGCTTCAATAGACACAGCTGCTCTGAGTCTATAATGATGAATACATTGCATTTGAATTAATACATTCAAAATGCTTTCCAGGACCATCTGCTGAAGCTCACTAACAATTCTGCATTAGATCTGTCAACTCTTTCACACTAGATATTTCAAAGCCTCCACCAATCTGGTCTGTTGTATTTCATTGCAGATGGGCTCATCCTTCCTCATTCTTCCTTTCATTCAGAAAATGATGGGTTTGAAATGATGAAAAGAAACCTGTCTGTCCCCATAGTCTACATACAGGCTAGTCAGAGCAGTCATAATCCCTGAAAAATCCTAATACTCTTTCCAAAATGCTAAACCCAGAAGAGCCAAGTGCAAGTTGAATTCAAAAACAACATTTTCTCTGCTCAATCAAAGAAGAGATGATGGGTGAACCAAAAGCAAAGATAAAAATATCCAGACAAAAGATATAACAGTAAGCAGGCATGTGCAAAACCAGGAGCAAATAATAATAATAATAATTTTGATTTTAAAAGCCTTTAGTTCGTCAAGAAAGCTGGCATAGCTTTATATACGTTCTTATTTTTGAAAGCAGGAAAGGAACAACAGATCAGCCCCAGGACTGGTACCTCGACTATGGCATTGTTATAAGAAAGAGAGTATACAAAAATGAAGCTTTGACTCACGTTCTAGAAGGGACAGAATAACAGAACTATAGATTTCAGGGTCTCATAATCCATTGAGCCCAACCACCTGCTCAATGCAGGAACTCAAGTGAAATTTTATCCTGTAGGTGACTCTCCAAATTCTCTTTGAAGACATCTAGAGAAAGAGACCCCCATCACCTCTCTGGGCAATTGTCTCCATGGCTGAACTACTCTTCCTGACATAAAGTTCCTTGAACTGTTCAACAGAAATCCATCCTCCAATAACTGAAAACCATTTGATCTAGTCCCACTCCCTGGGGAGCGGAAAACAAACCTGCAACATTCATTCTGTAACAGCATTTTAGTTATTTTAAAAGTCCAATCATATTATTCCAATCTTCCTTTTCCTGCATCCTATATTACATCACTATATATATTCTTAAGATTAAATTGAACTGATCCTGTTAAATTGCTCTGTTTTCCATGCCATTTCCTATGCTATCATACGTTTTTGCATAGTGGTCCCTTTCCCTCCCTCCAAAATTAGCTTGTTGTTGCTTGATGCTTGCTTATTACTCTTATGCTGTTCTATGCTATTTTAATTTGTTTTTTATTTTTCTTTTAATTGTATTTTGCCTGGGATTGGCCCCATGTAAGCCACCCTGAGTCCTTTTGGGGAGATGGAGGCAGGGTAGAAAAATAAAGTTCTTCTTCTTCAATTTTAACAGAAAGTAGGAAACCACGAAAAAGAAAAAAATCAGGATATCAGTATTAAAAAAATAACTCTAAAATCAAGATAGTAAATAAAGACCAACACTCAAAAACAGGGGAATTCTAGTCAGGAAACAATCAGGGCCAGCTAACACCTTTCAACAAAAGATCCCCAGGCAACCGGCCAGGCTTTGAAGCTACAAGGACATTAAAATACTAACAGTGAGTTCAGCAATGACCCAATAACTACTGGCCACACTGGCGGATTGAGATGAACGTGATTTTATCTTGGCGATTAGGCTTTACGTATTTATTTTGTTTGTATTTTAACTTATTATGATTTTATTATGTTTTTAGTTGTATTTGTGTATTGATTTTCTGTTGTTAGCCGCCCTGAGTTCCTCCGCAGTGGTTGAGAAGACCGGGGTATAAAAGTTTTAAATAAACAAATAACAAAAAACAGGGGGATTCCAGTCAGGAAACAATCAGGTCCAGCTACCACCTCCCAACAAAGGATCCCCCAGGCAGCAATCAGCCAGACTTTGATGCTATGAGAACATTAAATGCTAATCAAGGTGGCCAATTGCAACATTGACACTTGCCTCAAGAGTTCTCCCACCCTGTACATTCCACAGATATATAAACACCACTTGTCACGTTTCCAACAGACCTCACAACCTCTGAGGATTTTTTTTTTTTGTCGTGTCAGGAGTGACTTGAGAAACTGCAAGTTGCTCCTGGTGTGAGAGAATTGGCCGTCTGCAAGAACTTTGCCCAGGGGACGCCTGGATGATTTGATCTTTTTATCATCCTTGTGGGAGGCTTCTCTCATGTCCCCGCATGAGGAGCTGGAGCTGATAGAGGGAGCTCAGCCGCCTCTCCCCAGATTCGAACCTGCGACCTGTCGGTCTTAAGTCCTGCCGGCAAAGGGGTTTAACCCACTGCGCCACCCAGGGCTCCATTGCTGTTTATGCCCAGCATTTTTTAACAATTTTAATTATTACACTTGGCCCTGCCATAGGTTCTTTTAATGCGTCGTGGTGTTATTGTTGATGTTTACTGCTTGTTTATGAGTTTATTTATTGTTGTATTGTTGTTGTTGTTGTTGTTTTACTGATGTATTTGGGCTCAGCCTCTTGTAAGCCGCACTGAGTCCTTCGGGAGATGGTAGCGGGGTACAAATAAAGGTTTATTATTATTATTATTTATTGCCTTTGAAATCAAATATTTCAAAGTTTCATGGACTTTTATTGTAATATTTTTCTTTGGACTGTTTGTTCCTGTTTCTTCCTAACCAATTGGATTACCTTTTACTGTGGATTGTTTTTTTATTGCTTTTGCTTATATTATCTTCAATAAACTGCTTGCTATTTTAACCCATCTGTGTGGGTTAAACACACAGGGGATCCTGCTCTGGAGTACAAAAATTGCTAACATATACTTATTGCAATGGTGGATAACTGTGGAAAGCTGGAGACCATATTAGTCCTCCCAGGAGACCCCTATGAACTCATAGCACCCCTCCTAATATATCAATTTTTAAAAGTATTTTCTTTAACCCACTGCGCCACCGGGTGGGGATGCCTGCCATAGATGTGGGCGAAACGTCAGGAGAGAATGCTTCTGGAACATGGCTACACAGCCTGGAAAACTCATAACCCAGTGATTCCGGCCATGAAAACCTTCAAAAACACATTATTATTATATTGTACTGTATTTTATACTACAATATAAAATATGGCATAATATATTATTATATATTATATATTAATATTATAATATAAAATATGACATAATATATTATATATTAATATTATAATATAAAATATGACATAATATATTATTATATATTATATATTTATATAATATGACATATTATATATTAATATTATAATATATAATATAACATATATTATATATTAACATTATAATACAAAATAGACATAATATATTATATATTAATATTATAATATAAAATATGGCATAATATATTATTATATATTATATATTAATATTATAATATCAAATTTGACATAATATATTATATATTAATATATTATTATATATTATATATTAATATTATAATATAAAATATGGCATAATATATTATATATTAATATTATAATATAAAACATGACATGATATATTATATATTAATATTATAATATAAAATATGGCATAATATATTATATATTAATATTGTAATATAAAATATGGCATAATATATTATTATATATTAATATTATAACATAACATATGATATAATATATATATATATATATATATATATATTCATAATGTAAAATATGATATATTTTTGGTATGGGAATATAAACCTATTTTTTCCCAATCTTGTGTTTTGCACATTTGCTGCCATATGGCGTGCAAAGCAAGGTATAAATATAATTATATAACTAAATACAATATGAGAATAATAATACAATGCTGCCACTGTCTCAACCATCCCTATTGGATGGCTCTGAAGCATTTTGCATTCTTGGGTGAGGGACATATTCCATTCGTAGGCCTAGAATGCTGAGGGCCTTGTAGAACTACAACTCCCAGGGCCCCTCTCACAGCGCTGAGCCAAGGATTAATTCCACAATGGAGTAAATATCTCACAAAACTGCACATCTCACCTTCTATGACACTAAGCTATTAGATAGTATGCTATTAATCGCCCCCCGGTTACCTCAACGTAGGCCCAGCGGGCCGCAGCCTCCGTTTCTCCCCTCACGCCGCCATCTTGTTCCCTCTGCCTCCGCCACGCGCGGAATGACGGCGAGCCAAAAGGATACGGACTTCTATTGGCTGGAGCGCCTTTCAGTCACCACCCAGCCTCCCGCCAGCAGAAATTCCATTGGTCAATCTCCCAAGTGGGGTAAGTCCCGCCCTCTGTTTGAGAAGCCAATGAGCATGCGCGAAAGAGGCGGAGCCATAATGGGATTGCGCGCTTTGAAGGGATGGATAAATTGGAAATCCCGGCGGCTGGATTTCACGTCAAGGAGGGGAATGAGTGAACTGGAAATCCAGGTGGATGGATTTCATGTCAAGGAGGGGAATGAGTGAACTGGAAATCCAGGTGGATGGATTTTTAGGTGATGGAAAGGAATGGTTCAATTGCAAAGCCAGGAAGGTGGATTTTATGTGATGGAAGGGGATTGTTAAATAGCAAATTCTGAGAAGCGATGGGCTCATGTAAATTGTTAATCCAGGAAACTGGACTTTATGTGATGGAAGGGAATGGGTAAATTGCAAATCCAGGAAAGTGATGGGAGTAGGTGAATTGCAAATCCAGGAAACTGGATTTTTGTGATGGAAGGAAATGGGTATATTGCAAATCCAGGGAACTGGATTTTTGTGATGGAAGGGAATTGACAAATTGCACATCCAGGAAAGTGATGGGAGTAGGTAAATTGCAAATCCAGGAAGCTGGACTTTTTGTGATGGAAGGGAATGGGTAAATTGCAAATCCAGGAAAGTGATTGGAGTTGGTAAATTGCAAATCCAGGAAGCTGGACTTTTTGTGATGGAAGGATATAGGTAAATTGCAAATCCAGGAAACTGGGTTTTATGTGACGGAAGGGAATGGGTAAATTGCAAATAAGAAAATGATGGGAGTCGGTGAATTGCAAATCAAGGAATCCAGATTTTCAGTGATGGAAGGGAATGCTTAAATTACAAATCCAGTAAAATTGGATTTTATGTGATGGAAGGAAATGGTAAGCTGGAAATCCAGGAAACTGGACGTAACGTGATGGAAGGAAATTGCTAAATTGCAAACACAGCAAAGTGATAGGAGTTGTTGAATTGCAAATCCAGGAAAGTGATTGGAGGAGGTAAATTGCAAATCCAGGAAGCGGGATTTTCAGATGATGGAAGGAAATAGGTAAATTGCAAATCCAGGAAGCGGTATTTTCATGTGATGGAAGGGAATGGGTAAATTGCAAATCCAAAATCTGGATTTTTTGTGATGGAAGGGAATGGGTAAATTGCAAATCTAGGAAGCTGGATCTCATGTGATGGAAGGGAATGAGTAAATTGCAAACACAGGAAAGTGATAGTCGGTGAATTGCAAATCCAGGAAACCAGATTTTGGGTGATGGAAGAGAATGCTTAAATTGCAAATCCAGGAAAGTTGGATTTTATGTGATGGAATGGATAAATTGCAAATCCAGGAAGCTGGACCTAATGTGATGGAAGGGAATGGCTAAATTGCAAACACAGGAAAGTGATGGGAGTTGGTGAATTGCAAATCCAGGAAATTGGATTTTAGGTGATGGGAGGGATTGCTTAAATTGCAAATCCGGGAAACTTGATATAATGTGATGGAAGGGAATAGGTGAATTGCAAACAGTGGTGTGATGCAAAAATTCATTGTCTCAGATTCTTGGAAGGATGCAACCTTCAAAATCTGAGTCCAGAAAAAAACAATGGTGGCCTAGCATAGTTGTTATTATTGTTGTTGTTGTTGTTATATTTATACCTTGCTTTTTCTCTTCACAAGGAGGCATTAAGGTGTGCAGGAGAGACTGATGTTGCCATAAGGGATGCTCAATCTCTAAAACTTGTTTATGTCACAGCACAGAATTCAGTGTAGTCTATGTATGCCATTTCCCCCTTGCCCTTGTTATGGAATCCTGGGAGTTATAGTTTTACAAGGTCTGTAACCTTCTCTGCCAAGGAGTGCTTATGCCTCACTACTACTATGCCCAGGATTTGATAGCATTGAGCCGTGGCAGTGAAATTGGTGCTCAACTGCTCTGATACAAGAGTGTAGATGCAATGTATTGTCGAAGGCTTTCATGGCCGGAATCACTGGGTTGTTGCAGGTTTTTCCGGGCTATATGGCCATGTTCTAGAGGCATTCTCTCCTGACATTTCGCCTGCATCTATGGCAAGCATCCTCAGAGGTAGTGAGGTCCTCACAACCTCTGAGAATGCTTGCCATAGATGCAGGCGAAATGTCAGGAGAGAATGCCTCTAGAACATGGCCATATAGCCCAGAAAAACCTACAACAACCCAATGTGGATGCACCCTTAGACAAAAGCGAACTAATGCAACCTCTCTCTGTCTTGTTTGTTCTTCCTCGTTCATAACTTTTGCAACATCTCTGATATGGCTTGGCCTCATGTGTCCTGGTTTTCATCTGTTGGAACTGTTCAGTTCAGTTCGAAATGAAATCCATGGGTGGATGAATCATTCATCCATCCTTGATTGAATCATTGATGAGAAAGTTGACCTAGTTTCCCTTCTGAAACAAGAGTCGCAAAACTGGAAGGAAGTATATCTCCCATCCATTGCCTGGCTAGTTACTGCAGCATCAAATATGCAACAGCTGTCCACATTTGGCATGGACAAACTTCAGCTCTTCAGGTGTTTTGGACTTCCAACTCCCACCAATCCTAATAGCCAGTAGGAGTGGCAGACTCCCAGCTTCATGTGAATTGTACAAACATTTTGGGCTCATCTGGCTGGCAAAGGAAATCACCTATCTTTCAATGTACACAATGAGTCTGACAATTACCTGGCTTGGGAAATAGCCAGAAGTATTTGCCCAAAATTTTCCATTTCCAGATTATCTGAATTATCTGATTATCTGAGGGTCATAGAGGGTAGGCTGTTAGGAACTGTTTACCTGTCCGAATGGATTCTCCCCTACGAACCATCAAGGTTGTTAAGATCTTCTGGAGGAGCCCTGCTCTCGGTCCCACCACCTTCGCAATCGCGTCTGGTGGGGACAAGGGACAGGGCCTTCTCGGTGGTGGCCCGACTCTGGAACTCTCTCCTGATGGAGATTAGATCTGCCCCTTCCCTCCTGACTTTCAGAAAGCTGGTAAAATCTTGGACCTGGGATATAGCATTCTCAGAATGATGATCGAGTCAATAACGACTGACCACACTGGCAGATGGTGATAAATTTGTGATTTTACCTTGACGATTTGGCTGTAATTATTTGATCTGTATTGTAATGTATTTTAATGTATTAATGTATTATGATGTTATTATGTTTTAGCTTATTTGTGTATGAATTTTCTGTTGTTAGCCGGCCTGAGTCCCTCTTCAGAGGTTGAGAAAACCGGGTTATAAAAACTCTAAATAAATAAAATAAACTGTGGGAGTTGAAGTCCAAAACACCTGGAGGGCCAAAGTTTGCCCATGTAAGAACTCCATAAAAGTGAAAACATGATTTTAAAAAATGCCCCCCTTTTTACAAATTGTCTCTATGGTCAACTTGCACTAGAAGGTCTTAAGAGCATCCATGCCCTGAAACACACCCCTATTCCACTCTAACTCCCATGGCAACGGCATTCTAGGGAATCCTAGGATTTGCAGTATAGAAAGAGACATTTAGAATTCACAGCCAGAGAGCTCTTGGGCATCACTTAACTACAGAATTCCACTCAATGTTGCCATAGCAGCTAAAGTGCACTAATAGTATTATAACTATGAAGTGCAACGGGGTTGTCAGTTTGGTGTGAGAGCTATACAAAATACATGCCACTTGTAGCAAAATTTCAGAAGATGTTTACTTCTTGTGAGGATAGTCTTCCAAGATCAGTGTTCTGTTGGGTCCGTAGGTGACTATGGAGCCCTATTCTTGATCTGCATCTTCCCCCGCAGTGAGGGCATTGGTTTCCAGGTGGAAGGCAGTCCCGGTCGAAGTTGGCCTGTTATGCCTTCCTCTTGGCACATGTCTCTTTCGCCCTCCATTCATGCCTCTTCAAATTCTACAGCACTGCTGGTCACAGCTGACCACCAACTGGAGCGCTCAAGGGCCAGGGCTTCCCAGTTCTCAGTGTCTATGCCAGAGTTTTTAAGGTTGGCTTTGAGCCCATCCTTAAATCCCTTTTCCTGCCCACCAACATTCTATTTTCCATTCTTGAGTTCAGAGTAGAGCAACTGCTTTGGGAGACGGTGGTCAGGCATCTGGACAACGTGGCCGGTCCAGCGGAGTTGATGGCGGAGGACCATCGTTTCAGTGCTGGTGGTCTTTGCTTCTTCCAGCATGCTGTCATTTGTCTGCTTGTCTTCCCAAGAGATTTGCAGGATTTTTAGGAGGCAGTGCTGATGGAATCGTTCTAGGAGTTGCATGTGACGTCTGTAGACAGTCCACATCTCACAGGCGTATAGCAGGGTTGGGAGGACAATAGCCTTATAAACAAACACCTTGGTATCCCTACTGATGTCCTGATCCTCAACCACTCTCTGCTTCATTCGGAAAAATGCTGCACTTGCAGGATTTTTTTGGAGGCAATGTTGATGGAATCGTTCCAGGAGTTGCATGTGACGTCTGTAGACAGTCAATGTCTCGCAGGCGTATAGCAAGGTTGGGGGGACAATAGCCTTATAAACAAGCACCTTGGTATCCCTACGGATGTCTCGGTCCTCAAACACTCTCTGCTTCAATGTATTGTTGGAGGCTTTCATGGCCGGAATCATTGGGTTGTTGTAGGTTTTTTCGGGCTATACTCTCTCCCTGCTTCATTCGGAAGAAAGCTGCACTCACAGAGCTCCCAGCTGCTCACTGGAGGGAAGGATATTAGAGGCAAAGATAATGAGAAGATAGGAAACCTTGGTAAGATAATGATGTGGTGGAAAATGGAAGGAAAAAGGAAGAGGGGCCGACCAAGGGCAAGATGTATGGATGGTATCCTTGTGCTGGCAGGACTGAAGAGGAGCCCCTGGTGGTGTAGTGGGTTAAACCCTTGTGCTGGCAGGACTGAAGACCAACAGGTCGCAGGTTCGAAGCCGGGGAGAGGCGGATGAGCTCCCTCTATCAACTCCAGCTCCTCATGC